GGAGCAGGATGGTTTTGAGGAGGCTGACTCTACAATCAAGACCTTTCCTGGAAAGGTCCCACCAAATCATCCTAATAGCTCCCACTTAGCAGACACCTACTGTGGGCTTGGCACTGGGCAGAGAGCTTATCCATTGACGCGTTTTGTCTAAGCCTTTCAAGAACTCCTCAGGAAAGTTTCCTGACCAGGGAACCAGCTAAACCCTAACCAACGATTATGTCATGGAGCCAGTTTTTAAACTTGAGTCCTCTGACTCCACAGCTCCTGCAACCTGATCCTGGAGCTTTGTTCTTCAGCTTGCACCCCGCAGAACCCTAAGGGTCCCCAGAGGGGCTTCACTGGGCCAGGCTGCTGTGGGGTGGGGGTAGTGGAAGAGGAAGTAGCAAGCAGTCAGGCTCCAAGACTGACTCTCTCTTCCTCCAGAATGGCCTTTGATGGGGTTTATGTATTGAGCTTTCCTGGGAGATTAACTGGAGGAAAGGATTTCATGGTCAAAATGTTTGAAACCCACAGGGAGCAGCCTCCCCAGACGGCTGGGTTCCTGAACAGAGCTGCTTACACTGCAGCCCTGGCAGCACCTGGGAGCTCGGTGCAGTCTGCAAATTTCAGTCTGATTCCCAGGTCTTAGGGAAACATAGTTCCCTTTGTGGACGTGCCGAGAGGTCTGGCTTGTGCTGACCCTCTTTGTAATGTCAGCTCACCCATCAGAGCTTCTGGCCGGCAGCTCCCATGCCTGGAGGTCTCCCCTCTGGGGCGGAGGGACTGCCCCACAGACAGCGGATCCACTTGGTAACAGGCCGAGTGGGTGAATTCCTTGGCCAAACTCACTGCTGGGCATGGACTCTAAATGTGTTTAAGAGACCTGGAAGTGGATGACAGTGAAGAAGCCCTCAGGTTGACTGGCTTGAGGAGGCTGACTGGGATCGCGTATTCATTGGGGCGATAAGCTCTTATGACAAGTGCTGGCTTAGTCAGGAGGGTTTGTTCCTCTGCCACACAGTGTGAGCATAGGACACGGGGCTGGGTGTGGCTTCCACGGTGCTGGGGACGCAAGTGCCCTCTATCTCATTGCTCTGCCCTTTGCACCAAGAGCTTTCCACCCCAAGGGGCAAGATGGCTGTTCCAGCTCTCACTCAGCCTCATCTGCACCCCAGCTGGGCCACTGGGCAAGCACAGGGCACCTGAAAGAAAGGTGGCTGGAGGACATCTGTAATGTCTGCCAGGGTGGATTCCTCCGCTGGTGGCAGTGTGACCAGGGCTTGCTTAGCTTCGCTCCCACACAGGCACAGGAGGCCTGGAGCTGCCTTCCTGCAGCCAGAATGTCCCTGTTAGGACAATGCTTTCCGTGGGATTTCTGGAGGAGGCAGCTGCTTCCTTCCCGGGCAGCTCCTGTGTCACCTGCTATCGTGAGGGAGAGAATGCTGTCCTCCTGGGAGCCAGCGCTCTTCCTCAGCACCACCTCCAGCACCGTCAGCTGTGGGCACTGACACCATCAGGTGTGCCAGCGTCAAGATTCCTGGGAAATGGATAACAAGGTCTGGGAGCTGAAGGTGACGAAATAGTTCCGATGGGCTGTTTGCTCACAGCTGTCTGTGTAACTCCTCATAGAAAGGCCTGCTGGAGGTGCTCTGCCCACTCTGCTTGCAGGTCAACAGCCAGCGATCTGAGAGATGAAAGCGCTTTTAGCTTCAATTCCTGTCTCTGTTTATTGGCTTTGGATAGTGACAGGTAGCAGAACCCAGCCCTGTTCCGCTAACGCTAACGGTAGCAAAACAACAAAGGACAGGCAGGCCTTTGACTGGCTTAGCTGTAACCACTCATTGGTCAGCAGACATATTCTGAGCTTCCACCTCTTAGGTGAAGGATGACCTCACCTGGGAGGAATGTGTAGTCTTACAGGAAAGGCAGGTGTGGAGAGGACAAGTCTAACAACCAAGTGAATCATCACAAATGCACAGTGTTGTGAGGGGGCTGCTGAGAGGGGATTGGGGGCCCTAGAGGGGCTTTCCTGAGGAAGTGACCTCTGAGCAGGGGCCTGAAGGACATGAAGGAGCAGGCTTCTGAGGCCCTGGGTGCCAGATACCGAGGCCCTGAGGCACACAGGCAGGCTGGTGTGCCCAGAGCAGAGGAGGAGATGCAAGGGGCTGGATGACGCTGCAGCAGGCAGGATTTGATCTCGTGTGTGAGAGGACTCCGCAGGCATCCATCGTTAGGGCTCAGGCCCCATGCAGCTTACCCTGCCACCACTTGAGGATGTGGCTATCTTTACTCTTGCTGGATGATTGCTGAAATTCAGCCGTCTTTTGTACTCCAGGTGTGAAGGAGAGAAGGGCAAAGGCAAGATGGCCACATCATCCAGCTTCATTGCTTTCGAAAGACTCCACTAGAACTTTCAATGTATGCTGCATGGTAACCCTGAAGACATCCAGGGGATGAGATTGTTTAGCTGGCAACATTACCCCTTGCCACAAAGGCAGTTTTGTCAGTAAAGAAGAGGGAGAGATGGATGGGCAGTGTCTAGCATCTGGCCCTCTAGGCCGTGTTTCTCATGATAAGTGAGGTGTGTGGTCTTGATTCTATACACAGTTGGGAGTTGCAGAATGTTCTAAGCAGGGTGGCAATGGGCAAGAGGGAAGCAGTTCAGGGATGTGTGGCCATAGTGGCACACATCATGGGTTTTGTTTTTAAACTTCCATGGCAATGATCACAAACTTTGTGGCTTAACACAGCATAAGTTTATTTCTCACAGTTTCAGAGGCTAGAAATCTGAATCGAGGAGTCAGGGGTCAGGACCTGGCCCTTGGGTTTCAGCCTCAGACTTGGACCCAGACCTGGTCCTCAGGCCCTCAAAGCTCCAAGTCCTTGGTCAACCAGCCAGATGCGGACCAGGACCTAGACTCAGGCTGGAGGTTCCCGAGGTCGACCAGCCAGCCGGGCTCATTCTCATGGGGCTAGGACCGCCTCAGTGAGAAAGACCAATGCCTTCTCTGGCTAGGAGGAAAGCACGCTTGGTGGCCAGCCCAGCAGAGACATAAGGGTCCTCTGGCATGTGGCTCAGCTCCCATGGGAAGCCCAAGGCCTCTGTGCCTTGTGCTCACTTTCAGGATCTTGGTGAAAGATGCCCCAGAACCCCACTCACCCATTAAGAGGAACCGAGTGGCTACAGAAAGGACATTTCCTTCATAGTACAAGTGCCGGATCACCCCTTAAGGACCCATGGATGGCGGGGCTCATTTGCAAGAGGTGGAGTATTCACTGAGCAAGAGCGAGGAGGTCAGTAGGAAGGTGATGTTTAAGCTGAGCATCAAAGGAGTAGGGATCTGCTTGGGGGTGAGGACAAGGAAGGTCATTCCAGGCAAAAGGAACAGCCTTTGCAAAGACATGAGTGCTCAGTGGTGGCCTGAGATTATCAGGGAAGCCTGGTCTGGAAGTGGTGATGCTGGAGGAGGGGAGGTTGCACATGGATTCATGGGGGAACAGAAGGGAGAAAAGTAAAGCCAGAGAGAGGTGGGGCTGGCTCATGCTGGGCGCTCACATGACCGGCTCTCACATGCCAGGCTGAGGTTTGGGTTTTGGCTTGAGGGCAGCGGGAGCCCCACACAGCTGGGGAATAGAATGATGGGGCCTCACATGTTTTAGATTTGCTTGATTCCAGGCTGAGGTTGGGTGGGAGGTCGGCAGCCCATTAGCTGGAGGGGAGAATGGGGCGTGGCAGTGGGAAATCTGCACCCACCCCTGCCCTGTCTGTGCATCTTCCCTAGCTCTGCCCTCCTGTCACTTGTCAGAAGAGCAGTTGCCTCTTGGTGGGTGTGGAGAGCATCCTGGGCCCTGGGCAAGGCTGGCTGGGCAGCTGGCACGTTGGCAGGGAGAACATGGTCCTCTCTGTGTGTCTGCAGCCACTGCTGCTGGACAGCCTGATTCATGGCCACGATGCCCAGGCTCCGCACGGGTCAGTAACCATCCCTGCGACAGTGAACCTGCCCCTGCTCTGCCTCCTTTGGGCCTGCCCTGGCACTCCTGGGTGGGCATAAATACGATGACATCGTCTGCTCCTGGGCCTCTCCCACCCTTGTGTCACCAAATCCCACAGCCTCCTTTAAACCTGCCCCCTGAGTGTGCTTCTGCAGGGAGGCTGCAGAGAATTAACTCCCTGCCCGCTGTGCTCTGGCTTGTTCTTTATTTTGTCCCCACGGGGCACACAGTAGAGCTTAGAGAGTCACCTGGAGAGAGCCGTCTGCCCCTCTCCTTCCCCAGCTCTCTAGTCACTGTCTCAGGGGCCTGGTGTTTTCTCTCTGCTTCAAGTCGACGCATGGGGTGGACAAAGCAAAACCTACTCCCAAAACCCGTTTACTTTGTCATCCTTATAGAGAGGGTGTAGCAGACACTAAGCTGATAAGGACATTCGCTAGACTTGATCTTGGCCGAGAGGCTAAGGAGCGATGGTGTCGTGTACTCTTGCACAAGTCCTCCCTCCTCCACCAGACTCTCGACTCCCCCAGGTTAAGGACCTGCCTCCTTCTTCAGAATGGTGACTTCTACTGACCAGTTTTTTTTTTTGTTTGTTTGTTTGTTTTTTCCCTTCTGGAAATTATGTAGGGTGCTCCCCTGGGCAGGGACAGTCCCTCTTCCCTGCACCCTCCTGCATCTGGGAGCTCCCTGAAAATAGTACCCTGTCTGTTTCTCCCTGGCGCCCCCTAAGCTCAGCCACAGGTGGATTTGGGCTGCAGGGAACCCTCCTGGTCATCTGGGAATGGCAGGGCTGAGCTTGGGCACAGCAAGTGTGTATTTGTCTGGGGTAGGACTGGGCTAGGACGAGGGGCCACCTGCAGAGCTGTCTGGGGCTCCTCGGTATCAACCAGCCCTGTGGTCGCAGGTCCAGCCAGAGCCTTGGGAAGGCCATGAGTTCTTGTAGTCAGAAGCCTGAGGGTGGGGGGCAGGGGTGGCTCCCGGCATGCCCGGCTCCTTATGCTTCCTGTGGACTCTGTGTTGGCTGGCGGCAGGAGGACAACCACAGCTACTATGTGTCCCGTCTGTACGGCCCCAGTGAGCCCCGGAGCCGGGAGCTATGGGTGGATGTGGCCGAGGCCAACCGGAGCCATGTGAAGGTGCACAGAATCCTCTCCAACACCCACCGGCAGGCTTCGGTGAGTGTCCTGGTCCCCAGCAGCATTGCCCTGGGCCGGGAGGCTGGGCGCCCGCTAACTCAGCTGGTCAGTGGGTACGCCTGTCACCTGAGGTCTGTGATCTGGGAGGCGCCCTCTAGCGGGTCCTGGGGTTTTGCCAGAATGGGGCTGTGGTCCTGAGGGCCTGTCCTGGACATGCTTGCCCAAACCCCGTCCAGGCAGGTATGGTCTGGGCAGTGTGGGTGCCTTTGGCCTACAGCTCTGCCATGCTGACTCTCTCTGTCTCCTGCAGAGAGTGGTCTTGTCCTTTGATTTCCCTTTCTACGGGCATCCTCTGCGGCAGATCACCATAGCAACCGGAGGTAAGGCCATGTCAGTGGGGCTGAGATTTGGAGATCTCAGCCGGAACTTGGAGGACCTCTCTGGGGAGGCTCTCTGATGACAGGGTTGTATAGATGGACTGGGAAGGACCGATATTTGACTTTTTTTGGACCCCACTTTCAGGAGGGAAGTCAGGGGGTATATTGGACCACCTCTCTCATGTTGGCTGACGTGTGCGTGTGCGTGTGCATGTCCTCTGGGCCAGCTTAGGCCAGTGTGGGCAATCCTGTGGTCCTGTGTTTCTGCATCTGTGGATGAGAGGGAGGAGGAGACTCTGGGACCAGGGTCCCCTTGATATGAGTGGCCCATCTTCGATACCTGTGCACTCCCCAGGTACATCTAGAGGTGGGATATTGTGCCCACCTGGAGGGTCAGGGAGACCCTCTGTGGTCTAGGACCCTTGTGCCCATACCCCCTAGTCAGCAGGTGGGGGTGGGGGACAGAGGTTTGAGGTTTTTGTCCAGCATCATCTGCACTGCCCCTTCCTGCGCTTGGCCACATACCCCAAGGGAGGAACGTAACCCACGCTGCTGGCCGATCTCTGGTGACTCCTCTGCACTTCTTCCCACCCCAGGCTTCATCTTCATGGGGGACGTGATCCATCGGATGCTTACAGCTACGCAGTACGTGGCCCCGCTGATGGCCAACTTCAACCCCGGCTACTCGGACAACTCCACAGTTGCTTACTTTGACAATGGTGAGGTCAGAATCCTCTCCAGAGCCTAAGTCATCTAGCTGTGGGGCTCCCTTGGTCCATCCCCTTTAGGGTAACAAAAGGCCCAGCGAGGGCACGGGACTTGCTCAGTCACAGAGTGGGCAGCTGGCCCACCTTTTTGTATTCCGTTTCCTCATCTATAAGATGGGGACAAAATGCCTGTTCCTGCAGGGTCTGATGTGCTAACAGAATGCAAGTATTTGGCTTTTAGTAGTGATGAAATAAATAACAGGGGCCCTTCTTGTTTTTATTTTCAACTGGCTGTGCCTTGAATACACTGCAGGGTCCACAGGGACCCCCCCCCCCCAGTGCCTGGCACGTTGCAGCTTCTCTGTGCATAGATTTTCTCTCCTCCCTCTCCCCCCTCAGGCCCCATCCAAGAGAACAGATATCTCGACCTTTCTGTTTCAAGGGACCAGGCTAGGAGAGAAGTGGGGGAGGTGCCTGGAAGAAGACATCAAGGCTGTTGTCTTGTGGGCGTGGTGGGCTGACGTGGGCCTTTGGGTTCCTCTCTGGCTGGGAGGCCTGGCCGACCGTGGGCTACTCAGCGCCTGCCTCCAGCTGAATTTGCCCGTTACCTAAGGGACCCAGCCTGTGGCCAGCCCGCGGTGGTGGCACAGCAGGTCTCTGCCCCTCTCCCTAGGCACAGTCTTTGTTGTCCAGTGGGACCACGTCTATCTCCAAGGCCGGGAGAACAGGGGCAGCTTCACCTTCCAGGCCGCGCTGCACCGTGACGGCCGCATCGTCTTCGGCTACAAGGAGGTGAGTGGCCCTGCTGTAGCTGTGGCTGGTCTCGGAGGCCTTCACCCAGCACGCACCTGCAGGGAAGCTGAGTGTGCCAGGCTCAGGCTTGGGCCGCGGATCCCGCGGCTGATGCCGAGGCTGGGGCCCGCCCAAGCTTGAGTCTGCCTGGGCAGACAGACGGTGGCCGCGAGGGGCAAGGCAGCTTTGCCACTGTGACAAGCGCCTCGGTGTGGGTGTCTGGTGCCGGGGCGCCCTACCTGGCAGGGCTCAGGGGAGTCTTCCCTGAGGAACGGAGTGGACAGCTGCAGGATGTGGAGTTACGGAGCACGAGGGCACAAAGTGTGTGCCAGGGGAGAGACACGCCTGTGTGCAAAGGTCATGTGACACAGGAGAGCAAGGCCGGAGAAACCCACCAAAGAGGGCAGCGTGGTGGAGGAGGGGGAGGGACAGGGCAGGGCAGCAGGAACCAGATGTCCCTTGCCAAAGGCCGCTCTGGTGTCTGAGCGGGGAACAGATCTTTGGGGGCTCCGAGGGCGTCTGGGGGATGACTTAGCAGAGAGGTGTTGCGGGCTTGGAGCAGGGCGGCGGAGAGAATTGGAGAGGCCAGAATATGAGGGTGTAGAGGAGGAAAGGGAGGCACCGAGGAAGCCCCCGGGTCTCCGGCCTGCATGGTGGTGCCATCCACTAGGAAAGAGAAGTCTGAGTGGGGAAGACTTGGGATGTGGACGGGGGTCTATGGGCGTGAGGTGTCTTGGATTCCTCCAAGGGGGGACACTGGGAAGACAACTGGATCTGGGGCCCCCAGGGCTTCTTAGGCTGGCTCAAGAATGTTGGGGTACAGATGGAGCCTCTTCTCCCCTGCTGCAGATCCCTATGCCCGTCTTGGAAATCAGTTCCTCCCAGCACCCTGTGAAATCAGGCCTGTCAGATGCCTTTATGATCCTCAATCCATCCCCGGACGTGCCAGGTGAGTCCCCAGCAACCCAGCATGTTGCCTGGGCTGGACTCCGCTCAGACTGACCTGGGCTGGGAGGGGACGGCAGTGACACTGAAGGAGGGTGTTGAGTCCTTCCAGGCACAGTCATGATCACCTCCCGACCCTGGCAATAGGAGCATCACAGAGCCAGTTCGAGCTGCTGACAAAGCACAGCTTCCCCTAGCCTCAGCTGCCCCCGCTCTGAGACCCCCGGCCTGGAAACTTTGAACCTGGCGTTCTCCAGCTGTGCCAGGCGGCACGCAGGGGCTTGGCTGTTGAGGAGCGGGGTGCACCCTTCTGGAAAATCATGCATCTCCAGGGCAAGCATCGTTCCTTATATTTATGGGTGAGTCAATCCCTGGTGTCGCTGATACCCACGAGGAGGAGGACACGGAGGGGCTCGTCATCTGAGCAGCGTCTCTGTCCCTGAAGAAGTCCACAGCAAGGACCAGGGCTCAGTTACGGGCCTTTCTCCAGCACCTTCTGTGTGCGGGGCGGTAGCCCAAAGTTGGGGCTCCGCCCTGGAGCTGGAAGCCTGTGGAGTCTGGACTCTGCGAGCATCTGGACCTCGCAAGTCACTTGGGTCTGTTTCTTCGTCTGTAGCTGGGGATGTGTGTGGCGCATGTCCTTGGCGGCTACGTGAGGGTGGGCGCGCCAAGCCCAGAAGTGTCGGGCACACCGAGTTTTCAGGGACCCCAGGCCGGCCCCGGCACACAGCTGCGTGCTTGATCCCCAGCAGGACACGCAATGCTGTCGCACACGGTCCCGAAATAGAGCTGGCGGTGTCCTGTGCTGGTCTGTCAGCTGCCCCGTGCCACCAGCGCAGCACTCTGGAGTGGCTGCTGTGGCAGGCGGCAGAAGTTACAGGCTCCAGTGGCCGTTTCCCAGACTGGCCTCGGCACCCTCCCTCTGAGCTCCCTGCCCTGCACATCGATGCAGGCCTGCTGCGGACTCCCGCTCGCTATCCTCATCTTTACAAGGATGTTCCCCACATACGAGCATATCTGGTTCTAAAATTCAAATGATACAAAAGATGTGTTGAAAACACATTTCTCTCCTGTCTCTGCCTCCCTGTCCCACAGTCTCCTCCCTGGAGGCAACATGGGCCACCAGGTTACTTTTTTTTTTAAAGCTTTATTTATTCATGCATACGGAGGTGCAGGGGTGGGAGGATTCACCAGAGACAGAGTGGGGAGCAGATCAGGCAGATTGACTGACATACACTGCTGAGGGGAGCAGTAGGCGGGTCAGGAGAGGTCTGCTGTGCCATGTGGGTCAGCTCCCAGGCTGGGGATGGAACTGGTGCTGCAGTGGCTGTGGACAGCTTCACAGTGCTGCGCCTTAACCCCCTGAGCCACCAGGGAGCACCCGCCACCAGGTAATTTGTAGAGCTGAGCCTTCCTGTGTACACATTTATTACATGGTGCTTCTGACGGTCTCTGTCTGCCCTGGAAACATCTGTCCAGCCCGCCGGCCACTTCAGCCCACATATCATTCTTTTTAATGACCTTGTGAGAGTCCATTGCCTAGAAGCATCCTTCATTTGGCCGGTGCCCATAAACTTACCTATAAAGGGAGTTGTTTTTGGTCAAGCCTGCCACTTAACTAGACCGGTTCCTGACCCATGGGAAGGAATGCTTGAAAGAAATGACCTAGTGGGCCTGAAGGCAAAACGCCCACCACTGAGCTGCCCTGAAGCATCAGCCCCAGCTGCTCCCTGCCCATACCCAAAGCCTGCTGGGTACACCCAGGCCCACCTGCTGCAAAAGGAAGAAACAGACCCCCACGCCACCTTCCCTCCCTTTTTCTTCTCAGAGCCCAGGGTCTCTGCCTCATCTCCATCGTCAACACTGTCTTGGGATCACAGATTGTATCCATTGCCACCCTCCTCCCCCCAGGAACCCCCTTGTCCAGTCGCCCTCAGTCCTGCTGGGTGCCCCTGCCTGGGGCCTGGCACATGGCCCACCCATGTGAGCCTCCCTCCTGCCCTCCTCCCTTTCTCAACCACACCTTGGGCTTTTCTGCCAGTCTCTTGTATTCTAGTGCCTTTGTGATGTCGCCTCTACCCTGGGAACTGTTTTCAGCCAGGGGTCTATTGTTTTTGCCCTGTGGTTCAGTCTTTGAACTTATACTCAGGCGTGATGCAGAAAGCTCGTCCTTCAGGGCAGGTGTACGGCCTCCCTTGCTCTGTGCTGCAAGGCCCTGTGGACCTCACGTATCCTCAAAGGCACAGTTCAGGCCTGCAATAGTGGCTCCTAGGCGGGCGTCAGCTGGCCGGCCCCGCGGCTGTCAGTTAAGATACTAAGTGCTCCCAATTGTCGGCAACGAGCTGCTGGTCTGAGCCTCTATGTATACCCCCCAACCCCACCTGTCCCCCCCAACCCCACACTCCAGTGCTCTATCTAGCAAGTCGCTCTGCCAGGGCCACCCCCGTCATGTCCCCCACCTCCAGGTCACAGCCTGACCGCTGGCTTCCAGCAGAGCAGGCACGCAGGCAGCTTCAGAGGGGAGCAACCCAGAAGCTGGGGGGAGTCGGCAGCCTAGTCTTCGCACCCCTCCTCAGCTGGGCCATGTTCTACTGTTGGTAGCACTCGCCAGTGTGGCCCATGCCGCGGGCAGCAGGATCTGGGCTGCCTGCCACTCCGAGCTTTACGGGTCTCAGCGGATCATTCCCCAACCTTGTAATGAGATCTGTACATTTGTGCCTTTCAAAACGAGGACACGGAGGCTCAGAGGGATACAGGGACTTGCTTGTGGCCACATATCTGTGAAAGGGAAAAATAAACCCCAACTCTTCTGTATTTGGGAAACCCCGCAGTCCATCACTGAGACTTTCTGAATCTGCCTCCCCTCCCCCACCCCTCCCAGAGGGGCGAATCCTTCCTCCTCCTTCCCTGGCACCACCCATGGCCCCCTTGCCCCCACCCTGGGCTGTTCTGTGGGACAGTGCTTGCGGGGAGCCCACCCCTCTCCTGCATTCCTGAGCTTTCCACCCTCCCTAGGCTGTGTGCCCGGCTGGGCGGAGTCCCAGGAAGTGTGCCTTGGCACAGCCCTTAAACAAGGGTGAGTTAAAGGAAGTCAGATCCCTTGGGGGTGTCTCCATCTGGGGCTCTTCTGTGACTCTGTAAAGAAGGTCTGTTTCCGAGCAAGCCAGCGAGATGTGTGAGGGGGGGTGAGGAGCGGCAGGGAGGAACCCACCTACCCGAAATAAGGAGGGCGCAGGGCTGCTCCCTGCGGTCCAGGAGGCCAGGCCCTGTGGGAGCCGCTGGGCTGGGTGACTCCAGGTGCAGCCGGCTGCGGTGCTGGGTCCCCTCGAGTTGAAAGCTGGGGTTTGACCCCCAGAACACTGCCCAGCAACTCCCACCCTCCCTTCCCTCTGCCCCGCCCGCCCGGTTCCTTCTGGTGGTGCCAGACCTAACCAGTCTCAGGCTCCCTGGTGCCTGCCGCATGGAGTCAGAATCCCCTGGCGCCTTGCAGGCCCTGGGGCGGGGCCCACCTACCTGCACAGGTCCAGCCCCCAAGCCCTCTCTGCACCCGCCCCCTGTCTGGCAGCGCTGGTCTGCAGGTCCGTGTCCCCAAAAATAGGTCTGCATCTCTGTGATTTAGCTCCTTGTAAAAAGTATATATATAAGATGAGACTTAGACTTTTATAAACTTATTTGTATGACCTTGTATTTTATCACTTGGCAAAATTATACTCCATCGGTCCAGCTCAAAAGTTGTTTCTCTTAACAGCAGAACTGATGCTTCCCCTGTCCAGCTTCCCCCCAGCCCCCACTGCATGGCCCTGCTTATACGCCTTCTCCCACAGTGACCTCCTTGGGGTTCACTGTGCCCCAGCACTTAGCCCAGAGCCTGGGGGAGGACAGGCGCTCAAACAAATGAGCCTAAGAGTGAGTGCTGCTGAAGGGAGACTGTGGCAAGCCTGTCTCCTGTGCCAAGGTGACCCTAAGTGGAAGTAGGGGCCTGGTACCCCTTGAGTTTGGGGGAGTAAGTGTTTTGACAACAGCATCTGTTTTAGTTAAGCTGTCGGAGAATCACTGAGATGCAGATGGAGCATATCCATACGTGTATGTTTTTCTGAAAGTCCCCACGGCCTTCAATGGGTTTTAGTTTGGGCCATGACCTCTGTTTCGCTGAAGAGATTCTGTTATCAGACCTTTTATTTTTGCAGAAACCCACAAAGAATATAGAGTAGCTTAAACACTCTTCATTGGATGGGAGTCAAAAGTCAATAGAATTCCCCCAAGAAACGCTATACTGCACAGACAGCGTAAAAGCAACGTTAGTATAACCAACATCAAAACAGATTCTGAATTAGTGGGCTCAGTTAATGAAGATTTCATTATTAAGGGCTCCAGCTTGTAGCCTGGCCCTTGGCTGGCCCCAGAATGGCCTCAGATGGCCCTCGCATTCTGGGCCTGCTCCTTTACCAGTATTTTCCTTTCTGTTCAAAGGCAGATTTGAGTCCAGAAATGTGTCAGAGGCCTGCTCTGTACCTCTGTGCGGGGTTGCTGGGTGGAGGGGAAGGTGGGAGGGATGGACTGGCTGCAGAGGGCGGGAGGCTTGGCCAAGTGGGGTGTGGGGCCTCCCCTGGGCCTCTCCCTCCGGGGGAGGTCCTTTAAGGTGCCCTTTGCTGGAGGTTTTGTGCACTGGGGCCCTTCCTCTTCTTCACACTATTCTGCCCCCTGAATCTCTTCTCTCTCTCTGCCCTTCCAATTCCTGCCTCCCCTCCTGGGCCAAAAGCCTCTAGGGTTCAGGGCCCTCATTGTGCTTATCTCTGGCGCCCCCTCTCCCCGTATATTTTATTCCATGACCAGGCCCCCCTCTCCCATCTTCTGTATTTTATGCCATAACCAGATCTGGTAGGGACGTTTGTGGCTGGCCCTGTCAGCCTCCCTCTTTCTGACCACTCCAGCCCTCGCCCACTGGTGACACAAAAAAGCACAGGAAAACCTTTTGAGGCATTACCATTTCCTGACTGGGTGGCAGGGCCCTTTGTGTGAACGGACTTCAGTCTTTGTGCAGCTTTGATGAGTGGAAGCAGAGATAAAATAAACAGAATGTCTAAAGTGCCAGAAATGTGACTGGGGGCGGCCTCCGTCTTGGTTCCGGGAGGGATCTGTGGGTCATGCAGCTGGAGCTCATCATCCTTGGGGGAGCCCAGGATGTTGGCGAGATCATCCAAAAGCAAATAACTCAGACAGGGATACTAAGGATTCTGTTTACAAAAAATTAAAATATTGCCAAAGCTATACAGTCAAACAATGGTTGGCAATTGAAGTAAGCAAGTATTTTCAGCCACAGATCTAGCCCCACATACGGGCCCTGGCCCCCGCCTACCCCACTCCACACCCACCCTGCCGTGGGGCAGCATTGAGCTCTGGCGGGCACCTGACCTCTCTAGCTGTCCCCTTACCTGAGGCCCCGAGCGGCCCCAGCGTGGCTTTCGTGGCCCTCGCCCCTTGGGTCTTCTTTCCTTTCAGAGGCAGATTTGAGCCTAGCACTGTGTTGGAAGCCTGTGTCCTGTGCCATGCTGGGCTGATGCTCTGCTCCCCAGCCCCGTAGTGGGGACACCCAGCCCTTGGTTCTGGTGTGAGGTTTCCTGAGACCCTCACCTCCCTGACTGCTGCTTCTGAGTCTCCCTCCCTGAAACTGGCCGCCTTGACAGGTTCCTGTCCCCACTGATGCCCCAACCTCAGCCCGCCAGCCCCTTCCCTTTTACTTCCTTTTCACCAAGGAAGACGGCTCCCCTACTTCTCACAGCAGAGGGAGCCTAACACCAGCTCTTCTCTCTAACTTGGGAAGGAATTTGGCTGAGGCTCCTGGCCTCCTGGGGCTCCCCTCCAGAGAAAGGCTAATCTGTGGGGAGCTAGGGAGGAAGGGCGTGTTCTTCCTCTGGGCTGGAGTTGTAAGTTGCTGAGGTTTTCATGACAATTTGTAACCTGCTCACTGGTGGACTGTCATTTCTTGGGGCCCTGTCAATGCGCAGGGCCAGCTGCCAGCCACTGGGGGATGGAGTCCGATGACTTGCTGGTTCTGCCCTTGAAGAGCCCATGGCCGCAGAGGGGGGTGGGGGTTGTGGGGTGTGGGCAGGTGGCACTGGAGAGGATAGGAGCTGCCATACCTGTGCGTAGGGTGGGGAATCTCCCAAAGGGCACTTCCTTTGAACTGAGCCTTGAAGGATGAGGATGATAGGAGAAAAAGTGAAAGAGGAGCACAACCCCCCCATCCCACCCCCGCCACACACACACACACACACACACACACACACACACACACAGGTCTCAGTCACTTTGGAAGGCAGGCGAGGGATTCCTGGTGGTTCACATATACCTTTCAACCCTGGGGATACAGATGGAGGTTCACATGTACCCTTCACACCTGGGGGTGCAGATGGAATGGTGGAATGGAGCTGGAAAGTCTGCCTGAAACGTGCACCCTCCGTCTGGACAAGCTCCATCCCCAGGCCGCCTCCATTGACAGTTGGTGTCCACAGGGAGGTGCCCTAGCCCAGGCCTTTGTGGGACTGGGAACTCACAGCCTCCTCTGGCAGGTGAATCACAGGCATCTGCCCCTTCTTGCATCAGTCTCTGACCCCAGCTTTGTGGAGACTTTTGTCCTCCTGAGGACACAGTAGCTCCTGGACATATGGCTGCTTCTGTCCAGTACTTAGGAGTCTTCTCCCCCGGCCTCTTCTCCTTCAGCCTTAGAACAACAAAAACACAATCACTTGATTTTGGAGGTGCTGGCTTAATTATGTCTCGGAAGGAAAAATGGTGGATGTTTCCCTTCAATTCTTTGAGCAACACAAGTGAAGACCCATAAGCAGCAGCGCTGGGCATGTGGGCAGGCCAACGAGAGCAGGCCTCCCGTATCACCACCCCACTCCATGTTCAGGGGCTCGGATCGGTAGCTGGAAACCAGCCCGGGGGAGTCTCTATTCAACAGAAATGGGAAAATGCTGCATCAGGACTCCCCCCAGGCTGGGAGTCAAGGCCAGTGTACCCCAGAAAGTTGTGAGAGCAAATGAGAGGAGAGTCCTCCAGGAGTATGAACCCAGGGGGCAGGACCAGGTCTGTCCTGCACAAACTGAGTGCAGGACCTGGCACAGCCCTGGCACAGATGCTGAACAAGTGGGTGATTGGGGTGTGGCTAATGGTGTTGATAGGCTTGGTGATTGCAGAGTGCCAGCCAGTCTGGGGGTTAATCGGTCTGGGTTTCCCACTTGTGAGGTTAACGGCAGAACACTTGCCGTGGCCCTCAGCCTGTGTGCCAGGCCCGGAAGCTATGGCCTGTGGCCCACAAAGCCCACACCTGGGCAGTGCTCACCTGGTAAACACCCTTTGGGGTCAGCTAGACCCCCTCGCCCACCCACTTTCTCCAGAGTTTTCCTTGTGTCAGCACACCCCCGACCTGCCTGCTATGGAAGGAAGAAGAGAGGATACCAGGAGGCCTGGCTCTCCTTACAAACCACCAACTCACTTCAGGAGTCCAGATGGCGGGAGGGCGTGCAGGCCTGGGCTGTCCCTCGCCGGACAGGAAGGTCGAGACCAGAGTCTTCCCACGGGAGCCAGTAATTTGGGTGAAGGTGGAGCTGGGGGTGGCCTGTGAAAAGAACTCTGGGAGACTTCAGGTGGGCGGGAGATTCTCTGGCACTTCCACAGCCTGAGCACCGGCCCTCCCCCACGCCTCGCCACCTCACTCCCCAGCAGTGGCAGAGGCAAGAACCAGCATCCAACCTGGACCAGGGAAAACAGACCGAGGCTGGGGGCAGAAGAAAAGCAGCCTGGGCCCAGGGACAGCAGCAGGAAAGGGAGGCCGGCGATGGGCCATGGGGGTAGCGCTGGGGGCCGGTGGGGGGTCAAGCCAGAGTGGCCAGGAGGGCCAGGTACCCAACTCCCTCTCCCAGGGCCTGGGCTCATCCCAGCACCCTTGGGAGCTGTCGAGGGGCTGAGGGACCCACTGGTGACTCGCTGATAAGAAATATGCCAGCATGGAGGGGGTGGGGGAGGCAGAAATGTGCCACTTTCCTCCTCATGTTCCAGCTTTATCAACTTTGAACAGGCTGAAATCTGAGGGGTTAAGAGAGGCTGAAAATACCCTAGAGATTCAATCACAAGAAAGCAAAGGCCCTGGGAAGAACCTGCTCCGGGGCCTCCCCTCCCTGAGGTCACCCTCCCGACTCAGGGTTTCTCATCATCCTTCATGTTGTCAGTCTCCCCACCTTCCTGTCCCCCCTGCTGGCTCTGGCCGAGGCCCCGCCGCCCATGACACCTGAGTGTGTGGTGTTGGTATTTCAGACCCAGGACCAGGTGGGGAATGCAGGGCCCTGTTCCTCCCAAGGGAGCTTTGCTAGCACTGATGGCAGGGATGTCCTGGTCACTGATGAGACTCGTTTCAAGGACGTTCTCTAGCAGCAGTGTTTCAGGGGCTGAGAAGCTCCCATTTCCTGCAGCAGGTAGGGTGGGAAGGTGGGAAGAGAACAAATTTTGGTACCAAGACAGTGGGAATTCAATTCCAGTTAAGAAGGAGGGAACAACTTTTGCAGCAACATGGATGGAGCTGGAAAAGATCGTGCTTAGTGACATAAGCCAGAAAGAAAAGGAAAAATACCTTTTTCCTTTTCACTCATAGCAGGAGTATAAAGGACCAAGCGAGAAAATAATGATAATGATGAACAGCTATATACCAGAGACATTTTATGGGGGTAGAGTGGGGAATGGGATCAAAAACGGTGGGGGGAGGGAAGTGCACTGGACTCTGGTGATGGCACATGAGGGATTTGGTGATGGAAAATGCACAAATGATGTAAAAATAAACTATTATATTATCAAAAAAAAAAAAAGGGAGGGAACAAATCCAAGATTGGGGATCGGTTGATGACAGAAACAGATCTGAAACATTTTTTTAAAAGATTTATTTATGCATACAGAACTGGGGTACAGGCCAGAGGTGCAGGGGCGGTGAGAGGACTCACCAGAGACAGAGTGGGGAGCAGAACAGGCCGACTGACAAAGTACACTGCTGAGGGGAGCAGCGGGCGGGTCAGGAGAGGTCTGCCGCCGCTAGTCACCTCTAGGGCAGGGATCGAACTCATGCGGAAGTGGCTTTAACTTCTTAGTGCTGTGCTTTAACCTGCTGCGCCACCAGAGAGGGCCCTGAAGCATGCTTTTAAGTGGCAGAGGCACCCTAGATTTATTCAGGCGGGGGAGCAGGAGCCTCGAGCAGCGAGACAGACGCCTCCCTGTCACGGGTGCCCCTGCTGAGCCCCTGCTGGGCCCCTGGGGAGGTGTTCTTCCAAGCCACCCTCCGCTGAGCGAGAAACTTATAACCTCGCCTACTCTGGGCTTCTAGTGACAAATCCCAACTCAAACAAGCTTAAGAAACCGCATCGGGGATGCTGATGTAGCCCAGAGGCTGCGTGAAGACGTGTCGGCCCAGGTCCCCGCTTCACGCTCCGGTTTCCTGTAGGGACCGTGCTGCTCACTGACCAAGCCAGTGTCGTCTTAGTTTCATACTAAAGGGGCCTTTTGGTGACCATCGTAGAGCCCCAGGGAGGGTCTCTGATTGGTCCAACAATCTCTGGCCCACCTGTCAGGCCCCAGACACGGCCTCAGAGGCCTCTGGCCATGAGCCTCCTGACGGCTCTGCCTCCATTTCAGAGTCTCGGCGGAGGACCATCTTTGAGTACCACCGGGTGGAGCTGGACCCCAGCAGAGTGGCCAGCCTGTCAGCTGTGGAATTCACCCCACTGCCAAGTAAGTGGGGGTCCTTCTCATTGGCACAGGAGTGGTGTCCCACTGTCCTGGACAGAGCCTGCAGAGACTAAGCCCATAAACAGACGGAGTCCACCCCATGTCCAGTACTGGCCTGGGCTGGCTGTGGCCACTCGACTTCTCTGAGCCTCCTCACTCCCAGGGATGGAATACCTAGTGGATCACACTGCCCCCCTCGCCTCCCCAGCCATCACTTCCCGTCTGAGAGACCTGGAGCCTGAGAACTCCAGGAATGGGGGAGCAACTCTCACATCCTGGCCGCAACCAGAACTGCATTTCAGAGCAAGGACATCCAAGGGCGGGTTTGCTGCCTAGGCAGAAGTGAAGTGTCCTGGGGATGCATTTCTGGGCCACTGTCTGGACATTTAAGCCCTTTCCAACCCTCCTGTGAATTTGGTGAGCATTTATTAGCACGCAGGACGTCTGAAATGCAGATGAGAAGTAAAGGTCAGGAGTGTTTTTAATACTGTGGGGTTCCCAGGGATTTTGGCCGTCTGACCAGAGCCCATGAGGAGGCCTTCAGAGTCACTGGGAATGGCCAGGCTGGGTTTCCACGTGGGTGCTGGTGTGGGTGCAGCTGGCAGATTAGGGCTCTCAGTGAGGAGACTGTGACTTGAGCCCCTGGAAGGCCATTTAGCTTAGTCCTGAAAAATCTATGCACCCCCACCCTTAGCCCTAAGATTTCTCCCTTATCTCTGGTAGGGGAGGATTTAGCTGAGATTCTTCCCTCAGCTGAGGTGAGGTGAGGATAGCCTTATTCTAGCCATCACTTGCATGACTGGTCTCTCTTCTAGAACTGAGCCACAAGGTAGCTGGAGAGAGGGAGGGAGGAGGCTGGAGGAACCCCCAGTGGGACTTCAGGGCTCAGGTTCTAGGCTCAGACAGACCTGGATTCAAGCCCAGACTTCCCACTCTTAGTTCCATGACTCAGTTTCTTCCTTTGTAAAGTGGGGGTAACTGGAGCATCCATCAATCTACACGCCTGTGGCCGCCTGGCATGTGCTGGGCTTTGCTGGGTGCTCTGGATAAACTGAGGAGCAAGACAGCCAGGGAGCTCTCAATCTTGTGCCAGCCGGCCCTGCTTATTTCCTGCTGATGGCTTTCCAGTTGCCCTTCCTGGCCTGCAAATCCCTGGCAGGCCAAAGGGCACAGGCAAGACAGGCCCCCCAAAGCCGCTGAAGGTGTCTCACCTGCACCGCCTCTTCCTGTCACCCAATGTCCAGGCATTCGGGGCCATTCTGTCTCCATGCAGTGGGAAGTATTTGCTTGCAGATGCCCGGAACTTAAAATCCAGCCCCTGTCACCCCGGTCCTCTCTGCTGCTCTGCCTGGCTGGTGCCAGAGGGGTCACCCCCTCAGCAGCCGGTCCTGACTCTGCGCTGCCCGTGGATCCCCGCAGCCATGCCTCTTTCCTCCCACCCTCCATCTCTCCCTCTCTCCCCATATGTCCCCTCCTCGGAGGCCTTCCTCAATCTGCCATACGGGGAGGACCCACAGCCCATTGTCCCTCTGCCACCCGCTTGTCCTCAGTTGTCCACAGCCCTCTCCCCACCCAAACCTAGCGCAGGTTTAGCTGTATGCGTTGGCTTCCTCTGCTCACGGCAGCAATCCCGGGCAGAGCCCCATCGCCCTCTCTCCTCCCTGCCTCTCTGCACGCGTCACAGTGCCTGGTCCTTGTGGGAGTTCGACAAATATTTGTCAGAACAAAGAATGAACGCGTGGCTGCATGAATAGCTGCAGGTTTATGGGGGGCGTGAACAAGGCCATCCTCAAGAACACGTGCTGGCCTGGGTCCTGCAGGGGGTCGCGCTGCGACAACTGTGGGGGTTGACCAAACAGAGCGTCCCTCCTTTACAAATGAGATGCTGAGCACCCCAGGTTTCAGTAACCTCCTGAGAGACGTAAGCCTAGCTGGGCATGGGAGTCAGCGCATGCACAGCAGGTAGCTCACTCCCGAGGGGAGAGGGGGTACACGCTGCCTGATGTAGCCTCACAAACTCAGAGCTAGACTTCCCTGGGGGAGAGAGGGAGGAGACAGGAAGGGGATGCCAGCGAAACACGCACCCCCAGCTGGCACTGGATGGGCTTCGAACCAGTACAGCTCCATGGGTGTAGACAATGAGACTGTTTCTAAACACTAAACCTGCTAAGAAACTAGATCTCCAGAGCAAGGGGGACTAGATTTCAGTTATTCAGAAACAATAATTTTGTGACACCGTGGAGGAGTTAGCTAACACTACAGTAGCAATCCTATTGGAATAGAAAAGCACATTGTATGTCAAGTAAGTGTCAGTGTTGAAAAACTCCTTCAACCTTGTAGTTGTAGGTAACAACTCAGAAATATGACCTCCTCAACAAGGTGAGGTCTGTTGTACCCACTTACAGTGCCCTGGAATTTTCTTTCTTAGACCTCCTTGTATTGATCATTACAGGGCTTTTTGTTTTACCTGTTTAGTGTCTGCCTTCCCACAGGACTGCAAGAGCCAAGAAAGCAGGGGCCAGGTCTCACTGATGAACCCCCAGCACCTGGCCAAGCCCTGACCCCTAGAGATGGAGAGAAGGAGAGAAGGAAGGAAGAGGGAGGAAGGAAGCAGGGCTGGACTCATGCAGGTGGATCAGTGACCTCTGGTCAGATGTCCTGCTTCTGGGAGGACCTAGCACCGGCAAGTTGCGCCTTCTGGAGGCGGGCGAGGGCCTTGCTAAGGGCCGCTGTTGTCTTGCAGCCTGCCTGCAGCACCAGAGCTGTGATGCCTGCGTGTCCTCGGACCTGACCTTCAACTGCAGCTGGTGCCACGTCCTGCAGAGGTTTGTGCCCACGCTGCCCCCCGGTCCCGCAGGCGGGCTGTGGAGGAGGGACACGTGGCCCGTGGAGGAGGGACACATGGCCCTTGGAGGAGGGACACGTGGCCCTTGGAGGAGGGACATGTGGCCCTTGGAGGAGGGACATGTGGCCCTTGGAGGAGGGACACATGGCCTGCTCCCACCTCGGCCCCTTGCCACCATGTGGTTGTCTCTGGCCACACTGACCCTTAGTGCAGGTGTGTCACAGAAGTGAGTTTCTCCCGGAGGCCTGTGGCTGATCAAGGGGACCCTTGGGCAGGCTCCCTGTGTTGATGGTGGGCTTCTGGAAGGTCATTCAGGGTTCAGCTACTGCGGCCTCACACCGGCAAGGGTGGCTTCATCCTAGGACAGCGTCTGTCTGAGGGTGGTGCAGAGCTGTGAGGATGCAGGATCAGCCGGGGGTCAGGTCAAGCGTGCAGGTTCCTGGACCCACCCCGGGCTCCTCCCGCGGGATCTGGGAGAGAAGCCCGGGAGCTGTATTTAACACAGTGCCTGTAAATAACCACGAGATCTCCTGGCTCAGGGGCACGGGCCATCCGAAGAGCCAGGGCTGTAGGCTGAGAGCCCTGTGACCCCAGAATACCACCTGGAGATCTTTTTCAGGCTGCCAGAGTTTCCTAAAAACCTGGGATGTGGAAATTGCAGGCGCCTGTGGAAAGTTGGGGCAGGAACGCTGCTTGGTTTGGGAGGGAAAAAAAAAAGCTGGATGAGATTCAGATTCAGGGAGAAAAATTCTTAAATTCAACTCATCTTCTACTTTTTGTTCTGAAATCATTTCCTCACAGATTAAACTCACAGTTAGAGCCCTGTTCTTCTGTCCAAGAGAAATAAATGGCAGGGGATAAAACAAAAAACTAGGGACATGGGCCCCTGGGAGCGTGGGAAGCCTCGAACTCCAGAATCCTTTAAGAGGATCTGTGAGGCTGCCCTGCATCTGTCAGTGTTTCCTTTGCTCCTTTCCAACATCCTGGCACAGAGATGGTGGCCACTGCTTTTACCCTCACCCACCTGGCACACAGGTCACCGCTGGGCGGAAGGAGAGAGGCCCCCAGGCCTCCCAAGGGTTCTCCCACCAGCTGTGCGCTTGGCCACTCTCTTGGGCCCTCTGTTTGTTTCACTGTACAGTGGGCTGGGGTTCAAGGAAATGTAGGCGAGGAACGCCCCGGTTTTTCTACTCCGCAAATACCGAACAGAATTTTTGCAGCACCTTTAGGTGCTCTCACGCCAAAGGCTCAGAGCCTCTGCAGCTGTGCGGGGACCAGAGCCCAGCCCAGAGCCTGTGGTCCAGACCCTCTCCTGGGTTTGAGGGCCAGTGTCGGGGTGTGGGGAGATGAGCCACATGACCTTGGAGAAGCCCTGGAATCCTGGAGCTGGCTGCCACCATGTGACTCAGCGCTGAAGACAGCTGAGCCATGAGAACTGCAGAAGGAGCAGATGAAAGCAAAGCCCTCGCCTTGACACACCCCATTTAAGGCAAATGCCCAAACCCCAAAACTATGACAGTTTAATCAGGGATGGTCAGGGTGGGGAGGGCCTTGCTGTATTTATGTTAGCTGCAGGGTGGAGAAGCTTGCAAGATTGCAGGCTGAGATGGGACTTCCAGTCTCAGAGGCCTGCAGGCCTGGCTCCCCAGGGCAGGCTCCTCCTTGCTACCCCTCTGGGCCCTCAGCTCCAACTGAGAACTGACATCAGAGCCTCAAAAAGCAGAGGACAGAGCAGGTGCAGTGTGGCGGCCGCTGGGACCTCTCCCACCAGGGGCTGCTTTACGTCACCATGGGGGTCTCTCCCCCCTGCTCTGTCTTCTGCATCTCCAGGGTTCCCCTCCCTGCCCTGTCCAGGGGCACCTCTGAAGTCTAAGGCAACCTCAACTCTAGGATTTGAGTCATGAAATGAGGGTCAGAACCCTTCCTCAACAGAGGTCTGTGAGAGGGTGCGGGGCAGCATGGGGTGCCGGGCCAGTGCCCGGCATTCAGGAGGTGTCAGTAAGCAGCTGCTTCTCACGCCCTGCTGAGTCGGGGTTGGCTGGAGCAGGTTTCACAGGTGATGCTCTTAGACTTAGTTCCCGGCCCCTGACAGCCCCCCACAAGCGGGCTCAGAGGACCTGAGAGGGGAGTGTGGATGGCCTGACTTGGCCACCGCAGCTGCAGTGGGGAGGCCTGCAGCCCTCGGAGGGAGGCGTCCGGAGAGGAAAGACGACAATCCTGGAAAGCCTTGGGCCGCAGTCTGCTGGGTCTCGGGCAGATGAACAGCGCTCGCTGGTGCAGTTAACCAGCCCCGGATTCCTGGCGCTCGGGAGGGTCTTGTCCTTCCCAGACAGCTGTCCCCAAGCTGGAGGAGAGCTTGGTGCATTCTTGGCACCAAGAGTGATGACTGGAAAAGTGATTGTGGTGCCGGAAAACTCTGGTCCATCCTGTGTCCCCACCCTTCCCCAGGGGAGCATTGGGCAGGTCCAGCCCGGCTGGGCTGCAGTGTCCGCGGCCCTTCTCAGCAGTTTCTGTTCTCTCCCGGCCTCTGCCCTCTAGTAAACCACACCAGGGTGTGGGCTAATTTTGCTGATGTCCACCTTTAGCCCAGCTGCTCCTTGCCAGGCTTAGGCCCCTCCACAAAGAAGAGGGGTACTGGAGGTGAGCCAGCCTTTTCCAGATGAGGACGTTTGTGTGAATTCCCTGGCTTCTCACCCTTTCATGCAGCTCAGAGTCAAGGGACTCTAAAGGTCACTAGTGGTCACGCAGTCCAACTAGGCCTGCACATTTCCGAGCAGATGTGGCCGTGGGCCTGGCTGGGTCAGGAGGAGGGTGGGGATGCCACAAACCCCAGGAGGGCCTGACTCCTGATTCCACAGCCCTGCCAAGGCGCCTGCCCGGTGATCTTGGGAAGCTCGACCCCAGCCCTGGAACATCAGCCCCTCCTCACTGGAAAGCTGTTATGCAGAGGGCGTGACGGGAGGGGCTCCTCTGTCAGTCCCCCCACATCTGACTCTCTGGCCCCCTGCAGATGCTCCAGTGGCTTTGACCGCTACCGCCAGGAGTGGCTGACCTACGGCTGTGCCCAGGAGGTGAGGCTTCAGTGAGCCAGCTTGTGGGAAGAGCTGGACAGCTGGCCGGGCCAAGGAGAGATCTTGGTGAAGTCCCCTCCACCGGGATGGTCCCAGGCTGCTCAGAGGCAGTTAGAGTGGCCGTGGGAAGTTAGAGGGCTCTGGGGAGCCCCGGGTCCTTCAGTGGGAGTGACCTCAGCCACAGCTGGATCCTCAGGAGTCTGTGGGGAGCAGTCATGTGGGGATTGAGGAGGGTTATTCCAGGCACATTGAGAATGCCATTTAGGTGTCCGCTGGGATCTTCTAGAACACTGGATGCAGGGCGTGGAGCCTGCTGTTCTCATGCCTGTGCTAACAGGTCCTCCCATCCAGGTGGCCCTTTCCCTCCCTTCCTCTCTCATCCCTTCTTGCATGGCAAGCACATCTTGTTATGTGCTACGTTTGCTTTAATTTAATTTCATTTAGGATTAATTTAATTTAGCCCTAACATGACCTTAGGGACTGGGAACCAGCGCCCTGCTGATCAGAGTGAGAAACTGAGTCTCAGAGAACTTGAGTGATTGGGCCTGCATCTCATGGCCAGTGAGAGGGTGAAGGTGCCAGGCTTAGCATTGAAAGATACCCCCAGACCTGCTCTGTGCATGCACCAGCATCTCTTCACCCATAAGGTGAGGTCAGCTTTCTGGCCTAAAAAAATCTCATCCACAGACCCTGCCTCTTAGAGAAGGGTCTGGGTTTGTTCTGTTTATTTAACACTGACATCTCGGCTCCTTGCTTGAAGAGGGGTCCCAAGCAGTTTGACAGAGAACTGTCCTGGAAGATTAGACACTGTAGGAAGGGAGCGGAGGGCCCTCCCTGCTGGCTCACTGGGTTAAAGCGCAGCACTGTGAAGCTAAGCCGCAGTCGCTTCAGCGTGAGTTCCATCCCTGGTCAGGGAGCTGACCCACAGGGCGCAGCAGACCTCTCCTGACCCGCCCACTGCTCCCCTCAGCAGTGCACTTCATCAGTCGGCCTCTTCTGCTCCCCGCTGTCCCTGGCGAATCCCTTCACTGCTCCTGCACCTCTGGCCTGTATGTATAAAAAAAATAAATCTTAAAAAAAAAAAAAAAGTCCTGGGGACATCCAAGGCCCAGCTCTGGGGAGAGTGCTACCTTGGACCAGTCTCCTGGCTGCCGAGGAGGAAGGTGCCCCCTCTGCCCTCCCCTGTGAGGGCACTGCTGTGTGGCAAGCCTGGGCGAGGCCTCTGCTCAAGGCAGCCCCTGGGTCTCTTGCAGGCCGAGGGCAGGACGTGTGAGGACTTCCAGGATGAGGACCACTACTCGTCTTCTCCTGACAGCTCCTTCGGCCCCTCTGATGGAGACCTCACCACCACTTCCTCCTCCCTCTTCATTGACAGCCTCACCACAGAAGGTAAGGCCTGAGGCTGTGGGGGTCGGGGTGCGCCCCACTGGCTGTCCCTGACAGGAACTATCCAGGGGTAGGATCCCCCCTCCTGTCACAGGTGAGGGGCCTGAGGCTCCGAGCTTGGGTCACTTGCTGGTGAGAAGCAGAGCCAGGTTTTGAAAATTAATATCCTTGCCCAGTGCCAGGTATCCGTATCATCCCTCACAGAACCTGCAGGGCCCTATCAGCCTGCAGCAGGCATGAGCACAGTCCACACACTTAGACAGGACAGAAAGCAAAGTCTTTGCTTCTGGCTCTCACTTCTGGGTCAGTTGAAGTGGTGAGGGGGCTTGTGGGCTCTTCGCTGACTCCCTGAGCCAGATACTTGCTTAAAAAGGGCAAATGGAATACTTAGCTGGCAGGGGAGATACCATGTCATGAAGGTGGTTTTCCCAGGGCGAGGCTCAACCCATTGCACTCCAGATGTGCTGACCCCTGCGATTTCCCCAAATGTGGGAAACTCGACTGTATAATTTGTGGTATTGGGGGACTGCGTTTGTGCTCTCCCCTAAGGGGGAAAAAAAGGGCAAATGGAAAGGAGGAAAGAGGGACGAAAAAGCTGATGTTTTAAAACCTGATTTAGGCACTGTTCCACTTCATAGCTCCAGAGAAGAGCCCGCAGGACAGAGTAGGTGACTCAGGGTTGCCGCACGGTGAGTAGTAAATGTTCTTTCCTCCGGTCTCCGGTCTTTCCAGACACGGCCCAGCAAACTAGAGCAGGAACCCATGGGTCTGGCCGAGGAAGACTTGTAGGGGATAGTGAACGAATGATAGGAAAGGCTGATCTTGGCCAGGCAGGCCGCCAGCATGGTGCTAACACTGCTCGGGGGCCCCAGCAGTGTGGGACTCCTCCCCTGGGGGAGCCCAGGGCCACCTTCCTGCTAAAGGAAACCATTTGAAGGAAGAAATCCCCGGCCAGTCACAGCTCAGTTAAGCCCTGCGCCTGCTGAGGGCATATCCTGAGCCCCAGGCTCAAGGCTTTACCATCGGGTGAGCCACAGAGCCTCACGGCCCCAGGCGACTGTGGTGGGCACAGAGAGCCCAGCACCCGGCATCTGGGGACGCGGCTCAGCTCCCGCCAGGTCGGGGGCAGCCCGTTCCCCGGGGTCACTGCCGTGGCGGGCTCCCCGAAACCAGGTGCACCCTGTTGTCAGTTTTATTATCTTGCATCTTCTGCCAGCCAGGAAGGTGTCTCGCTCGTTTGCAGCACACTTGTCCTCAACAGAAAAGATCAGAGAGAGTGAGGACATTAAGCCTCACCAGTGGGCCCAGCTGCCATGGAGAAGCTCCCCCTCGACTCCCCACCCCATCCAGGAGGAGGGGGCGGAGATTTTCTTTTTTTTTTTTTTATACATTTTCAGTCTGTCTTTATTTTATTTTTTTATAATAGTTTTTTTTATAATAGTTTATTTTTACATCATTTTGTACATTTTTTTTTTCATCTCAATTGTAAGCCCCGTGGGTTTCCCATCACTGAGTCACCTGTGTGCCATCACCATAGTTTTTTGGGGGGCAGAGATTTTCAAGTTACTTCTGTCTATCTATTGGTCTATCCATCTATCTGTTGACCTGTCAGTCCACACATATATGTGTATGTGTGTATACATCTTTATAACCCCTGAGTGCACACACACACACACACACACATAAATTAATGCTGCCTTCCCCCACACCCAGTTCTCAAGGCGTCATGCTGGGAGGACTTAGTCACTCCCTGCCTGCCCACACAGCCACTCAGGGAGCGGCAGCAGCAGGAGCCAGATGGAGAGTGTCCCACACAACTGACCTCGGGTCAGGGAGACGCTGCGAACCACGGGGACACAACTCTCCAGCCACTCTGCCCATGCTCTGCCAGGCAGAGTCGGGGAGCAGGGACCTGGGGGGACCGGCTGCTAGAGCGGGTGACGCCTCTGGCACAGCCAGGCAGAGGAGCACAGAGGACCAGGGGCGGCGGGGGCTGGATTTTAAGTGCTGGGCACCTGCAATCAAATACTCCCCGCTGCACGGAGACAGAAGGACCCCTGGCTGCAAGTGGCTGCCGCGTGCCGGGCATTGGGTGACAGGGAGGGGCGGGTGCTCGCCCGGAATAACTGCAGCACCCGAGCAGACCACACGCTGGCGGTGGCAGGGGTGGCGGCCAGCCCGAGGGTGAGGGCCCACTCCACAAGCACCGCACCTGTCTCCTCACTGTGTGAGTCACGGGCTCCAGCAGGCTCTGTGACAGAGGGAGCCGGTGTGTCCCCGTGGGCCCCCACAAGATGGCAGCTGCGACCAGGCGTGGCACCTCCAGTGGCTTTCGGGGGACTGGCTGGCCCGTGTCCTTTGGTCTGCCGGCAGCAGGTGTGGACAGGGCTCCGGTGGATTCTGGACAGTCTAAGTTCTAAACAAGTTGATTTAGGTCCAGTCTATTTATCCAAAGATGCTTGGAGTTACTCTGGGTTACTGATTCGTTTCTTCCACCCTGGCCTTCTACCATCTCACTGCTGTGTGGCTGAGCAAGTCACCTCCCCTCTGTTTCCTAAGTAAAACGGAAAGACTGAGCCTCCCCAAAGTCCCGTCTGGTCCTAAAGAGCAACAGCCATCGTGATCCCATTAACCTCTCACCTTTCACCTTCTCTCCTTTCTTTCTGCAGATGACACCAAGGTGAACCCCTATGCGGGAGAAGGTGAGTACAGGGCTGCCTGCCCTCTCGGTCGGACCCGCCCCAAGCAGGTGCAGCAGACCTCTGGCCTCTTGACTTTTATGCCATGGGGGTGGGGGAGGAGGGAGCAACAGCAGCCTGAGCTCCCCAAACCCCTTTGTGGGTGGGATGGCGGGGGCATGTGGGCACAGGCCCTAGTAGAGGAGCATTCGCCATCCACACCTCTGCCACCTCCACCAGGAGCCTCCAGTGCCCCTGGCTCCCGGCCCTTGCACATTCACGGCCCTGAAGGAAACGAAGGAGGAGCGAGGGGCTGCCCGAGTGGGGCCCCAGGGCCTCAGCCTATGTCCCCACACACCTCACGGTGAGAGGTGGAGAGCCGCTCCTCACACCAGGTTTTGATCCCCAAGCTGTGCTGGCAGAGAGGACACAAAAGCTGCCCACCACAGTTGTTGTAGCTTGCCCACAGGTGGGGGCCCCGCCCCCCGGGCCCCCTGGGAAAGTAGTGTCTCTGGTGATTTGAGGTGGCCAGCCCTCTCCTGCCCTGTGCCCCAGCCAGCTCCCACTGTCAAAGGGGCTGGAAAGGCTCCCAGCTCCAGGCCCTGGGTGGCTGTTACTGGGCTCTCCCCCAGGGGCGCGGCCATCACTCCTCTGCAGCAGGTGTGCGTGGCATGTCCCCCCGCTCCACACCATGTGTTCATCAGCCCGAGCCTGGCCATCGGCCACCATGGACACTGCAGGGGTGGGGGAGCCCCACTCAGGGCTCGTCACCTCAACTCTCCCTCTCTCCCAGTGCCTAAGCAGGCATTGGGCCGCCCTGGGACTTTCTCTTCTGGGACAGTTTCTCCCTCGGGTCCCTCTGCTTGCAGACTAGGGGAGAACAAAGGCAAAGATTTGGGGTGCAGCAACTCCCTATTAAAAACTCTCATGCCCCCATTGAGTCCCATCTCCCCCACTCGTACAGGAAAAGGAATCCATATTTCTGTGGCTTGCTCATCTCTGCTGCGTTATCCCACACCCTTTAGAGTAGGGAGAAGACTCAAATAGCAGCCAGGACAGCAGATGGCGCGGCTGCTCAGGGCTGGCGCTGACTGTCCTCAGCGAACCACTTCACTCTCCATCTTGTCCATTACCTCAGTCGTACAAGAAAGGAGGCACTGGGTGAGCTTCCAGCTTGCTAGTCTATGGAAATATTCATTCTCCTCCTTGGGATGCCTTTCAGACCCTTGGGGTGTCCTCAGCAAGTGCCTGCTGGTTTTCAGCCTTACTTTGTTTCGTTTATTGAGCCCTATCAATGGGCCTGCTCTTTCAAAGCGTTAGGAACACAATGATGATTAAGACACTGTCGTTGGTCTCCAGGAGGTCACACTCTGGTGATGGACAAGGACAGGTGAAAATATTTTGCTACCATAGCAGCTAACCTTTTTTTTTTTTTAAATAAAAAGTTTATTTTTACATCATTTTGCACATTTTTTTTTTCATCTCAATTGTAATCCCCGCGGGTTTCCCATCACCAAGTCACCCGTGTGCCATCACCATAGTCCCGTGCATTTCCCTCCCCCCCCCGTTTTTGATCCCATTCCCCACTCCACCCCCACAGAATGTCTCTGGTATATGGTTGTTCATTATTTTTGTTATTTTCTCGCCTGGTCCATTATACTCCTGCTATGAGTGAAACCATCCGGTATTTTTCTTTCTCTTTCTGGCTTATCTCACTAAGCATGATCTTTTCCAGCTCCATCCAAGTTGCTGCAAAAGACATGTGTTTCTCTTTTTTGGTTGCTGAGTAATATTCCATTGTATATATGTACCACATCTTTCTAATCCAGTCATCTACTTTTGGGCATTTGGGCTGCTTCCATGTTTTTCCAATTGTAAATAAAGCAGCAATAAACATGGGGGTACAAGTATCTTTTTCAGTGTTTTTGTGTCTTTTGGGTAGATACCTAGGAGTGGGATTGCTGGGTCATAGGGAAGCTCCATGTTTAGCAGTTTGAGGAACCTCCAAACAGTTTTCCATAGTGGTTGTACTAGTTTCATTCCCACCAGCAATGCAGGAGAGTTCCTTTTTCTCCACATCCTCGCCAACATTTGTTGTTGCTAGTTGTTTGAAGATGTACCATTCTCACTGGGGTGAGGTGGTATCTCATTGTGGTTTTAATTTGCATCTCCCTTATTACGAGTGATGTTGAACATTTTTTCATATGCCTGTTGGTTATCTGCATTTCCTCTTTGGAGAAGTGTCTTTTTAGCAGCTAACCTTTTTTGAGGTCATCTGCGACACCAGTCATGGTCCTCAGAACTTGACCTGAATTATCGTGTCTTAATCTCCTCAGTAACCTCCTCAGGTAGTTATTATTATCCTTGTCCTGCAGAAGTGGTAACTGAGACCCAGAGAGGTAAATTAATTTTCCCTAGGTCACACAGCTGGTAAGGGATGGAACCTAGACTTGAACCCCGGAAATTAGATACCAAATCCCAAAATCTTCCCCATCACATGCCCTTTATGAATTCTTTAAAAGCTTTATGTGGCATGCACATTAAAGAGAACTTTTATGGTCCTTACTCGATATTTGAGCAACTTGTGAGTAGCTTTGCGAAGCCACCTGAACTGTGCTGAGGTCATTAGCACCGCACTCGTGTATCTGACACGTAGACCAGAAGAAACTGTGGGCTTCCATCTCTGGGGCCTTGTCCGAATCCAGGATTCCACCCCCCCCTCCTGTCTCCCCTGCCCTAACTTAGGTCTCTCCACAGGGCTTCAGAACAACCTGTCCCCCAAGACAAAGGGCCCCCCAGTGCACCTGGGCACCATTGTGGGCATCGTGCTGGCGGTCCTCCTCGTGGCGGTCATCATCCTGGCCGGGATCTACATCAACGGCCACCCCACCTCCAATGCCGCGCTCTTCCTCATGGAGGTAAGTACAGAACTGGCCGCAGCGCCTGCTGCTTCTGAACTCTTTCTGGCCCTCGGCGCCTCCCTCCTTGTCTCTCCCGCACCTGCCCGTGTTTGCCTCCTGTTCCCGCCCCTCCTCGGTCTGGCTCATCTCCTGCTGGCCACTGGCCGGCTCCCTTTCTGGCTCCCTCTTATCCCTAACCCCCAGGGCTTTGGCCCCCAGACCCATCCCAGGCCCTGTCCTGTTGAATAGTCCTGTCTACTTTCGCTGCCCTATTTGTGAACAGAAAAGAGCGCCCAGAAGAGAGGGGCCTGCTCGGGGCTGTGCAGCCCAGGCCTGCCAGCCAGCGGTGCTCATGCAAAGCCAGGATAGAACCCAGGTCTCCGCCTCTTTGTCTGCCATGAGGATTTTTCAGATTTAGCTGACAAGCCGCAATGACAATGAGTGGTGCTCTCTGGAAGCTTCTCCGAGGATGCTATGGATTTGTATGGCTCGAATTCAGAAGAGCCAGCCTGGGGTGCAGAGTGGGAGCAAGGCCAGCCACCTCCGCCCTGGGTCACAGCTCAGCGGCTCCTGCCCACTCTCCACTCTCAGCTTGGCCATGGCTTCCCTCGTGGCACGGCAGTGGCACCTAAGTGACCACGACACAGGTCGTGCGCCCTCTCACCTCATCACCCACAGGCCTAGGTGGTTCCTTCCTCTCACCTCGGTTCCCCTCCCCCGGTGCCTTATCATTCTTGTCTGAGCCTGTCGGTACCACCTGGCCACCGGGATGTGGACAGGGCAGGCGTCCACATTTTCATGAGTTCCCAAGATGACTGACGCCGGACCTGTGGGCGTTCTCAGACCCTCCCGGAGATTCCCTCTCTTAGCTGCGCCCTCACGTCCAGGGCGTCGGGGCTCCCCTCAGTTGAGGCTGAGTGTCTCACCTGTGTGTCCTCACATAGGCATCAAATGACCGAACTCTGAGCTGCTCTGAACTGCTGGGGCGCTGAGCTCCAGCAGGCTTCCCAGTCAGTGGTTGAGGGATCGCAGTGGGGGGGGGGCTCCTGGGCAGGGGCCTTGACCGGTACCGTCTCGTGGTAGGTGCCCGTGTCCTTGTAAAGAGCCAGCACCGACCCTCCCCTCAGTGGTGGCGGGTGTGTGCGTGGGCACGTGTGCATGTGTGCAGCTGTCGACTGTGTCTGTGCCCCCCACCCCCACAGCGGAGACCTCACCACTGGCCGGCCATGAAGTTCCGCAACCACCCCAACCACGCCACCTACACGGAGGTCGAGCCCTCGGGCCACGAGAAGGAGGGCTTCGTGGAGGCCGAGCAGTGCTGAGGGCGCCAGGCCTCCCTCGGAGGGTAGGAAGACCCCCCGGTGAGCCAAGCAAGGGGCCCCCCTTGGAATATACCCTGGCTGGGAAGATGAGAAAGTGGCTGGTGCTGCCTCAGCTAGTTTGGCCAGCTCACCCCGATTTTGAAGCGGGGATGGAAAAACAGCTATGTCGAGTTTTTAAGGACCAGTAACCTAATTTCATCCTGTTCTGATATCAGAGGTGCCCCTGTGAGTCTCTCAGTGGTGTACTCTGTAGCTCCCCGAGAGGCCCCCTCCACCCGGAGTCGGGGGCGGGTGCTCTGTTCCCGCCGCCCAGCGCCCCTGCTTACAGCGCGGAAGGACTCAGCTCTAGATTAGGGCGGCGCAGTCCAGGGTCCATAGACTCAAGAGCTGGTCCTCATGGCTATGGATTCAGGGTATTCAGCCCCAGCTTCCGGGCTCTGGAAGTCTGGAGAAGGAGTTTCCTCCATCAGCAATCAGAGTCCCGACGGCACTCTTGCCCCCGCCAGCCGCCGAGCGGCCTGCGTCAGAGGGAAGTAAATGGAGGAAAGAAAATTGCATTTTTAGGCTTTGCTTCCCCAACTTGCTGACTCTGCTAGGAACCAGTACTCTTCTGCATGGAACATGTGTGCTGCCCGCGGCCCAGGCTTGGGGCCATCTGGACCCACTTTGACCTGCGAGCTGTGCTGTGGGGGGCCCACCTGCCCGTGGGGCCTTTAACTGATGCCACACTAAGGCCCTTCCAGTCCCTGCCGGTCCTTCTCTCGGTGCCAGTAAGTACTGCCAAAGGCAGGGCTCGCCTGATTCCTGTTTTCCCGCTCTGAGCTGGACTCTGTTGAGCAGCAGAGGCGGTCAGGACACAGGGAGCTGTCAGGAGGAGGACGCACTTGCTACATAAAACCTCGACCTGCAAAGTTGCTTCCTTTCCCCACAATCTGCCAGAAGTTTTGGGAGCAGATGGCTCAGGCCCCCAGTCTTCACCAGGTTTTAAAGGGACTTTAAGCCAGGGATGAGTTGGGCCTGTACTGAAGATGATCTAAAATTACAATCATAACTCGCCCTCATTTAAGGTTAAAAAATAACAGCAACAAATAAATGTTCAATCAGTCTCCACGTGGTCATGCCCTTTCATGCATGTCACCATGGTGCCGTGAAGGCAGCACCAGGCCCCCCACGTGCAGCAGGGGGACCAGGACTAACTGGACTCGCTTGTGGCTTATGCTCAGTGAGGATCTAATGACAATCGGGAGGACATCTGGCCCTCAGCTGTAACACAGAGCTCCTTAAACCAGACAGGAAGGACTGGTGAGGGTCAGAATTTGAGAACCAAGAAAAGCAGCACAGTTTAGGCTTCATTCAGTGTTCTGGCTCTATCACGAGCTTCCTTTGCAAGAGAAGATTCCCTGGGCTCCGGGCACTCATGGCCGGTGGGAGGGGACCTGTGCTCTGCAAAAGCATCTGTGACTTTCACACGTGTGAAACAGTCAGCAGGGCAGATCCGTTGAAGCCAGTGCCGCCTCCCAGCACGCTGCCCCTGGGGGAACCTGCCAGCCATTCTGGATTCCTGCAGGAAAGGAACCCCGAGTGCAGGAAGGGGAGGCGATGCAGGAGGCGAAAGTTGGAGAGGCCTCAGGCAGCCAGCCAGCCAGCCAGAGCAAGACCAGCTGACCCTGGGAGCAGGACGAAGGCGGTGGGGCTGTTTGGCAGCAGGTAGCCTGGTTGGTTTACAGCAGAAACAACTAGAGATCTGTCACTAAGAGGAAATTAAGAGCTTCTGGTTTTCTCCAGCCAAAACGTGTAGCCCAGGGCTCCCAGGACAGCTGGGCAGCTCAGAGTGAATGCTGGTTCCCAGGTCTAGAGCAGGTTAGTCAAGTAGCGAAGGAGAGTGACCCACTTAGAGGACTGAACAACTGGAAGGAGACGGGGGTCTTGGGCTCTCAGCCGCAGCCTGCGGACGCCCAGGCCTCTCTGCCTGCGGGCGTGTGTCCCCGGGGACGCGGGTGCTGCCCGGTCACCTTCCCCAGGTGGAGTCCTTGGGTATCTCCCACTAGGAGGTGGGGGTAGGAGCCCTGAAGGCTCAACCCTGTGGCAGGAGCCTGTGCAGTGCGGTTCTAGGAGGTGTGTGCGGCTCTACCAGGAAATCAGGTGCTCTCAGGAAAGCTCTGTTTTATGCCAAAGCTCATAAAATGAGAAAGAGAAGAGGGAGGCTGCGGCAGAGGCCGAGAGGGATCCCAGGAGAAGTCTGTGAACACAGCCTTGCTCTCTGCCAGCCCGGCCTGCAACCCCAGCTTGTCTGACTGACCATCTCCCTCCCACCACAAGCGGGGCACCCGCTCACCCCCTCACCCGTAGGCCCGGTCTGACCTGGAGACAATTTCAGGTCTGGATTCTGAGTTTGAAAATGTCCCTTTGTCACTATTAGAAGTTCTTTGTGGGCCTACGGAACATATTTTTAAATTCACGTATCTCACCAGAGCTCTCCCTTGCAATGTATCCTTGTGTGTATCTGTGCTTAGGCACACATATGTGTGCATACGCATGTGCACACACACGTGCATTTTATTGCTAAAGACACTGAATGACTCCCTGGCCTGGCCTAGCTTAATGAAGACAGAGGCACACTGCCAGCCAACTACTGTTCCAACAGCAGTGTTCACCCCTGCTCTGTATGAACTGTGTTTAGTCTTCTCCTGCAGCAGAGTCTCTGTCTCTGTCTCCTCTCTCACATAGCTCCTTTCTTCCCCCTCTTCCCACCCCCACTTGCAACAAAAGCCCACCTATACTTTAGCACAATTAGAAGGACCTGGGGTCTAGGTTCCAAAGGCAATGTAGGCATGTAATTAGTGTAAATTCTCTGCATGGAATCTCAGTGTTAATAATCAAAGGAAACATCCTTTTATCACTTCTGCTGTGTGCAAAATACAATGCAAAAGATTTTGAGCCAGTCTGTAGCTTACCACACATACCTTAGTCCTGCTGACTAACATTAAAGGGCTTCACCAAGGAGCCCAGAAACAGCCTCCATCGCTCTGCCCAACCGCTTGCCCCCACTGCAGGAGAAACAGTCTGGATGGAGACTCCGTCTGTTTATTGGTAAATCCCTGGAATCGACCCCACGATTCCTAATCTAACAACTACAGAGCACGGCCATGTGGACAGATGCTGCCATGTTTCTGGACACCCTGCCTTCAGGCCACTTGAGCAGGCGCACTGTGTTTTTATTACTTTGTGAGTTTTGCTCCCCAAACATGGTTAAGTGAACCAAAATAAAGAAGAGAGGAAAAATGTGAACTCCTCACAGTCAGAATCAGCTATGCCAAACTTCAGGTTCCAAACAAGCCAATATATAAATAAACATGCTGTGTTTGCCAGATCAAGAGGAATGTGTTGGAGGAGGCAGTGAGGACTGGTGCAAAAAATGCTGAGCTTGGAGAAGGCAGGAGCTGTCACCCCACCTTGCCCCTAAGGACCTGGGGGTGAGGGCAGATAAGGCAGTGTAGGTGCTAACTGATCTAATTAGCAAACAGCCACACCTGGTTTCCCTAGTTCTGGCCACTCAGCCCTTTCTTTCCGTTATCCTGACATTCCGTTTGCCTTGTTCTCATTTGCCTGAGACTGTCCCAGTTCTGACACTGAAGATCTTGTGTCCCAGGAAGCCCCGTAATCATGGACTCCCTGGCACAATTGGTTATCTGCAGAAATAAGGATAGTAATATCAAGTGCTTGTAGAGTCCATTAGTCATGGACCTTGCTTTTTCCAAGTGGGGTGCACAGGGGCAGGGAGCATCCCCTGGGAGTGAACTGGAAATGAAGAACTTAGACGCTCCCACCTACCCCAGATCTCCAGTGTTAGAATCTGCAATTGAGCAGTTCTCTAGGAGAGAAGCACTAAGAAACCATTTTACCCACATGCTATCAGTCTCCTGGAGTGATATTATTCCCCCACTTTCCATATGAGGAAATTGAGGCTCAGACAGTTGGTTTAGTTGTTTATTCATTTGATCCATTTTCATGAAGCACCTACTATGTGCCGGCAACACCGAGTGACTTCCTGAAGGTCACACAGTTAGCAAGCAGCCAAAGGCACCCCCACACCCAGGTTGTGGGAGTCCTATCTGAGGGTGTTCTCTGTGCTGGGGCCACTGCCAAATTGCTTCGTCACAGTTCATAGAGAAGCAAAATTATGGATTATGTAGATACAGAGCTTCAAAAAGATGCATAGCAATGACTTCAGACACACTCTTGGCTCATGAAACAGCTTATTTATTTACATTACTTTACAAGAGCTTGAAAAGTGATCTCTGTGGCTTCCTCTCCCTGCTCCCCCATTCCTATGACCCTCCCATAGGCATATTTGGAGGTTGTAGGGAAAATGGAGTTACTCCGGCTTTCCCCCCTTCCACTACTAACTCTCTCTCTGGCCACCCCCTGTAGGGTTTCATTGCCCACACGTGCTATCATGTGGTGCAGAAGGTGCTTGGGAGCAGGAGCGTGTGGGCGTGGGCACACGGCCTATGATGATGGACACCTGGCCAAGAAGCCATGAGCATGGGGTGTATAAATGAAGACAGCTGGGTGGAAGCCAGGGGTAGGGGAGATTCAGGGGCTGAGTCCCTGCCTACCGGTCTGTCTGAGTCCAGGCCCCAATTCAGCATTAACGGCGTTTAGGCATAGCAGATGTGTGAAGGTTCTTTCCACTTTGCCTGAATCAACAGTGAATCTGCTCACCTGGACTCGGTTCCCCCACAGAGGCGCTCCCCACGCCCCTCTGTTCCCAGTGCCCCTCTCCCCCAAGCCCTCTGTGGCCTGAGCAAAGCCTTCCCTAGACATCTGCTCTTCAGAACCCCAAGGCCAGGCTCCTGTGCTATTTAACTTCTGGAATGGAAGACAATTGATTACTTCACTTGCCACGATGGCACTGCAGAGACGGGAAGTGGGAAGGGAAGGAAGAATCCTTATTTGAACTGTGAAAACTCAAAGAGAAAGTCTTCAGGGATGATTCTTCTGATGTTCATAAAACATTTTTACATTTGGTCCCTAGAGGTAGCTAAATCATGCCCACGGCTTTTTTTACAAAGCTAAAAGCACTGAAAAAGAAATATCTGAAATAGTCCAATAAAATGTCATTATATTTCCCCAGTCTTGGGTTAAAAACATCCCTTCCATTTTTTATACTCTTCAAAATTTTGATTTAGGCTATCCAAAAGATAGAAGGCTCACCGTGTCTAGCTGGGCAGAGGGAAGTCTGAAAATCCCCCCAAAGTCCAGCTCCCGCTGCTCCACCAGTCCCCTCATCCTGACTTCACAGAGCTGCCACAGCAGGGAACCTTATGGTGGGGGTGCCGGGGGTGCCTGATGCCGACCCCTGGTCTGAGTCCCGGCTCCCCAGGAACATGAAGCTGTTCCAAGAGCCCATCTCAAGGTCATGGGCAGCCACTCCCAGGCCCATCTTCTGCCCTCTGCAGAGCTGCCCACACCCCGCTGTTCCCAGTGCTCATAGCTCCCAAGTCCTTTGTGGCCTGAGCAAAACCTCCCCAAAGGCACCTGCGCTTCCAGAGACAAGCAGAGAGCAACCGACACGACAGAAGCGGGCACTAGCCAAGCTTCCTTATGGAGGCCGCTGGCTATTTGCTTTGTCCTCTGGGATGGGGACACACTGGTTCTCATTTACTGTGTGCTGACGACATCACACAAGATGCACCTGTATCATCACCTGTGCTGTCATCTCTGCCTTAGAGAGCAGCCGCTGAGCACTGTGGTGTTTGTTTACGTGTACCAGTGAGATCCCTCAGGTGACTGGCAGTCTTAGCCTTTGGTTCTCAGCTCTGATTCCCGAGGCCGGGGCCGCCCACTCTCCTGCCCACTGTGTGCCAAAGGCACCGGGAGCCCTGTCCTCCGTGCAAGCCTCACTTCCCAGCCAGGAAATGGAATTAGGTGCGAGAGTTTCAAGTGGGATTTTTCCATCTCTGAGGCCTCAAGGCTCTAAGTTCATAAGCTTTAAATCACTAGTGATGAACCTTCTGGGTTGTTCCTCTCATCCTTTGGCCGCATGCCTTAAAGGTGGTCCCTGCTGTGTTTCAGTCTCTGAGAGCCCAGCATACAA